AAGGGCCTTATGATAGACAATATTCTACTGTTGTACTGTATCCCCAGTCCAGAGCTTGTGTTTCTAACAAATTATCAGTGTGTTCTGGTGCTGCCAGCCCCAAAACCACAGTACCAGAACTACTGCTCTAGACATTGGAGCAGGGATCGGCAAACAACATGCAAATACATGGTTTCACTTTTTTTAAGTGGTTGAAAAAAAACTGCTATCTCTTTACATGTGAACATTAGGTAAACTTCAAGTTCTCAGGTTTATTAGCAAGGTTTTATTGGAGCATGTTATGTGATGGATACTTATATAGATATTGACATATGCTGCTTTCTTGCTAGAGCTCCCAAGTTGAGTAGTATAACAGGCTTATCTTTTTGTAATCCTATAATATTTACTGTCCTGTCCTTCACAGAGTCAGTTTGTTGACCCCTAGTCCAAGGCAGTAATTGCCAACCCTTGACACACAGTGGGATCAGGTAGGCTAGTTTATAATCTACCAAAACCTACGTCTCCGGAGATTATGCTTAATGGGTTTGGAATGTGACTTAGTGGATCGTTAATATTTAAACGTCTCTAACCTTTCCTATCCAAACAAAACAAAAGATAAACAAGTAAACTTATACCTATATGTAAACTATCTACCTATAAGAAAGAACAACAATATAAATTCTCAACTCATTTCCTCAGATAGTGTTGCTGGTAAGACATTTTTTAAAAATTACACTATATATTATCAATATTTTAAAAATATTTTATAAATCTAGGTTATATTTTAAAGACTATTCCATGCTTATTGTTTAGAATACAGGAACCAAAGACATGGAGGTGTTAGGTTCCAAATTTAGTGGGTAGGGTAAAAAATATTTGTGGCCAAATAATTGATAGCCACTTGCTTTTCATTTTGGAATGAAATAAAGTAGTTGGTTTACATGGAGGCCATGTTCTAAGAAAAACATACCGGATATATACAGCAAAGACACCAAGAACGGGCTGATGTGCGCACCGAAAGGAATCCAGAGCTACAACTAAGGAATCTCGGGTCCTTTTCCCCATCTCACAAGCATCCCCCACTATTGCTCACTGAACATGTAGCCGGCAAGTCCAGTCCTGGTATCTCCTCCCTCTCCGTACTTCATTTCTCCTGCTTACTAACGGGTAGTTGAGTAAATGGTTCTTTGTGAACAATTCTCCTAAACTGGGCAGGGTGTAAAATGAAAAATGAAAGATAAGGTCATGCTTCTCTCCTAAGTCCAAAGTTGAGTTCCTAAAGGTTGACATCATTAAAACTTTATGCACGTACCCCTATTACGATATTATTACACAATATTATTACAATACTCAATGAGTACACACACATACACCATGTTCAAACTCTACCAGCTGTGTAATAGCCTCACTGCTTCATTTAACAACTTTCCACATCAATATGTATCAATGCTTTATGTTTTCTAGTATTTGAGTAGTATTTTGTGGCATAAAATAAGCTATAATCTCAAAAATTAGTTACTACATTAATGGACTCTTAGATATATGCATACATGAATAAACACATAGGTGTATGTGAGATTAATTCATAAAAGTCAGATCATGACATCAAAGGGAATGACAAAATATTTAATAGATAATCCAGTTACCTTTCAAAGTTTTTTCACTGATTAATGCATTCAAGTGAGAACTTACTGTATCAATTTTAAACTTTTTTCTAATTTTTGTGTTTTTCCTTAAACATAAAGTTGGGCATTTTTAATGTACTTTCGTGTGTGTGTGTGTGTGTGTGTGTGTGTGTGTGTGTATTGTTACTTTATGTTCCTTAAGTATTTTTTCATTTAGTCTTATATTTTTCTACAGTGGTTTATGATTTTTTTGTATTTTAAGGAAATTTCTCATCAAATATATTGCAATCATTTTCCAAGTTTGTCATTTTTATATCATTTATTCAGGCAGAAGTCTTCTGTTTTATATACTTATAATTGTATTTATTTTCTAGTGTGGCTTCAGGCTTCTTCATATTTTACAAAACCATATTTATTTTCTTCTAATATGTTTATAGTTTAAATTTTAATTCTTGATCTAGCTAGACTTTATTTTGTTCAGGATTTATTTTTAATCTTCTTAAAGACCCAAAGAGTTAAATCTTGTATCTGCTTTGCAAATGATGAAGAAAAGGCCCTGACACAGAAGTGACTTCCTGGGACTAGGTCGTATTGGAAAGCTAGATTTATGCTTCTACCTTCAAAACTGTGTAACCGGTTAAAAGTTTCTTCTGTAGCAGCAAATGTTATTCTCCTTGCAGGTACACTGCTTAGTTGAAGTTTTTACCTTAGAAGAATAAAAAGGAAAGTACTTTTTAGTGGGACATGCTCATTGCTAATGTCTCATCTCCTGTAACTACAAAAGGAGATACTTAAACAAGTATTCCAGTACATTTAAGGAAAATAGAAAGTAAATCTACAGGTGTAACCCACACTAGTCTGAGATTCTGTAGACTAAAAAATATACTTAAGAGGTTTAAACAGGTTTGCACAGATAAGAGACTTTAAAAAAAAAAGGTACAGACAGTAAAGCCATATCTGAAGTCCTATTGGAAGGTTTTTCATTTTCTCAATGGAAAAACATGTGTTTTTCACCTATAACTTCATTTTTGTTTAGTCCTTGGCTGTGAACTGCTCTAAGATTTATAATACTTTCTATCTCTTCCTTTGCTTTTTCTGTTCAAATGCTCTGGAGGCTTAAAATAATAACACACAAATTTTCTTTTCTCTCATATCCTAATATAGAAAAAATATTTATTAGTAGTTACTCATAGATGTTTTCTGAAAAAAATCCTCTCAACCTTCAGGTGACAAAAGCCTTTTAAAATCGCCGATGTTTTCCACGGTATTGAGTTGCTATGTTTGGGTTCATTTATTGGGAAAAGCTGCAGGAAATGTTACCTGCTAGGACCTCAGGAGAGGAAAATGTTATTAGCTGAAACATTGGGATCTGCACTTAAAGCCATTAATAAAAGTTGTCGGGTGATGATAGCTGGGCTTCCATGTCTATTTTTTAATGTCCTGGAAGTCACTGGTTGTTTTGCAAGTGCTTATAGTTTGTAATTACCTCGTCTCCTATGACGGACGGAGCTGGAAATCAAATTAAGTGGTTGCCTTCTCTTATGCTGCTGAAGAATCGCCAGCTTAAGATAAGATCGCCTTTTTCTTCCTAAAAAAAGGCACAAACAATGACAGCCCAAAATAGCTAGTTAGTCAGTACTGACGACACTTTCTGAATGCTTGTCATTAAAGAGACGGAGAAAATCCTGCGCTTTTTTGATTTCTCTCCCTGAAATACCTAGCTTCCTCCTGAGGCTGCATCATCTCATTGCCCAGGAGAAATGCCCCGCGACTCTGCCGGCACTTCAGCACCACTGCAGGCTCCGGGGGGGGGGGGGGGGGGGGGGTGGGGGGGGGGGGGGGGGGGGGGGGGAGGTGGCTTGTGCAAAGCACATGAAAGAAAAATCCTAAAAGTCGCTGCAGCTTTTCCCAGTGAGTTATGCCCATCTTCCCTGTTGCTGTAAGCCGGTGGGGAGCGTTGTGGCGAAGACATAACCACTCTTTTCCTCCCACTATTTTTACTGCAGTGAGAACTGTTCCTTTTTGCTTGCATTTTGCCAGAGAGCTGTAGGATTCTAGCTGAGCATGAGAGCTTCCCAAAGCAGGAAATTTGAGCTTAGAACCCTAAATTAGACTTTGTCCTCTTGACTAAGTAAAAACTGAGTTGGTTTGCAGCATCCAGTGCCTGACGGACATGACAGCAGACAGTAGGATCTGATGATGATATTTTTGAATTAAGTTTTTTCCCCTGATGAATTCGTGGGAACAGGAGCTTTTATCTTCTCTCTTGCACTCTTCCTTCTAGAGCAGCTAAACATTTTACATTCAGCAGCAGTAACTGCCGCTCTGAGGTTGTACTGTCCCCCGGGACCTTCTGCCTTCAGTCCAGTCCCATCCCCTTTTGTTGCTGGTCATCTCTTACCAATGAAGTATACTGTAGTTTTGGAAAATTACATGCATTGTTTTATCAGAAAGCCTAGCAACTTCAGATAGCCCTGGAAGACATAGGAGAGCGTACAGGGCAGGGAAGTAAGAGAAGGTGGTATCTCCCAGCCCTATAACTACAGAGCACCCGGGGAAAGCCAGGTCACATTTCAGGGGACTTTATGAGACAGAGATCCTTTGGTCTTGCCCGTGTTCCCCTGGGAGAAGCAGAATGAGACGTATTTGCAGTGATTTGTAGCATTTGCCAAACAGGGTGCTGCATCAGAATAGCCTGGAATATAATGCAGTTTCTATTAAACCTCCACAGGGAAAAGGGCTTCCTCTTCATTTACAGTACACCAGATGCAATCCTATTGTAAAGTATCTAATAGGATAGCAGCAGGGCTCTTCAGAAATATAAGTAACTCATTGGTTAAATTTCAATTCTTCACCTTTCCCCCCTCCTTCCTGGGTGAGCTCATTCCCCCCTCCTTTTTTTTTTTTTTAAATCCAGTGATTTAAAATGCTAGGAGGAAAAGCAACTGAGGTCTTAACTTTCAGACGCTGAATTCTCAGCTAATTGAAATTACTGGGCACAAGGCTATATATAGCCAATGAAGAGATTTTGAGCTCTCACTCAGTGCCTTCAAGACATGTCGTTTTGTAGTCAGAGAAAACAGAGATCAATGCATTTTCAAACTGACAGAGGGAACGGATGCTCCTTAGTAGCACATGCCCAGGATCGTGTGTGTGGGGCTTGCGCTGTGCTGAGAAGCTGAACACCGGTCCATATGCTCCTTATTTACTGCAATGTTCTTTGCATGTTACTGTGCACTCCGGACTAACGTGAAGGTAAGAGGAGGCGAGGCGGCAACTGGGCACAATCTACATGTTAAGCCAGCTGCAGAAAATGTCTACCTAGTGTAGCTCCAGGACTTTTCGGATTGCTGGCTGAGCAGACAGATTATTACAGGTGGTTGCAAAGGCTTTGTTTTATTGCTGCCGAGCAGCCGGGCTGGGGGAGCCCGTTGGAACGCTGCTGGGAAGTGACCTTCAGCTTTAACTGTTTGCCATTCAGGTTCAAGCTCACTCTTGGGGGGCGGGGGGCAGGAAAAGATGAAAATTGTTTAGCTAGGCCAGAACCGAGCAACCAGAGGATGTTCAAAAACAACAACAAAAAGCTACAGAGCACGCTTTGAATTAGGATTCAGTCTTTCTTTCAAAAAGTGCTCTAAGCTGCCTGTGTTCATGCAGTTTAATTGTTTAAGAGCCGGGGCTTTAAATCTAGTGGCTGTAATGACATTAGAATGTGATCTGCGGGATACCTGACCATTCTGTGCTGATAAACAAGTAATTGTCATTGGGAATTGGCGATGTTAATCGTACAAATCAGTAGCTCTGGGTGGGCTGGTTGCTTGGGCTGCGGGGGCGCCGCTGCCCCGGGTTGTCACTCCACTGACATTTGCTTGCTGTGTAGCTAATGAGCTTCTAAAGTTGAGTCTAAGTTTGGGAGATTTACCCCTTGTCATGAGCTAGGGCGTTTTTATTGGAAAGGCTTTCTGACACTGTTCATTCAGCACAGAGCCAGCTAGACCAGCTGTGGGATTCCAGTTGCATAATTTAAGTGAATTGCATCCTCAGTTAACATTTGGAGCTTGTATTTCTTATTAAAGGAAGTTGAAAAAGGAAAGCAATTGCTTGAGAAAAAAATATTGAGAGGCATTTATGACTTAATACCTACAACAGGGATCTTAAAAGTAAAGATCAATGTAGAGTGTTTCTTCTTTTATTTTCTTGGGGGAGTGCTTAATGTGTTTGGGTACTAAAGTTTCATTTTTTGTGTGTTTACAAGTTTCACTGGAGAACTCCCTGTTGCTCGTGCCCCTGTAAGCCTTTTTGTTTACCATTTGAATTTCAAACAGGTAGTATTTGTGTTCTGATGACCAATTCTTTTATAAGTATAGCCAGGAAGCAGGCTGTGGATGATGTTGTGGAGTTCTATAAAACTGACTTTTTACTACTTTAAAAATTAACTTGAGGGGCCGGGGAGATAGCTCAGTAGAATAAGTGCTTGCCTGGCAAGCTCAGGGTCCTGAGTTCAATCCCCGGTACCACCAAAAACAAAAACAAAAACAAAAACAAAAAACCTCAAGTGGTCCTTTTTCTTCCATACATATGGAGTTAATAACATAGAAACATATTTAAAAGCAGGGAGAGTATGCCACAGATTAGCTTGGATTTCACTATCACTACCTCGCCTTCTGAATCATGTGCATAATACTCATTATTTAGAAAGATTAGTGAATTGTTCATGTTTCCCCCCTCATTTGTTGAAAAGAGAGGAAGGCTTTCTTCAGAAGAAGCACCATAAACAATTTAGACAAAGACTTAACAATTGTCTTAATATTTTATTGTTGTATTTGAGAAATACAAGAAAACCCAGTCTCTCATTCTTTTGCTGTGAGCTTGGGGAACTCTCTCTCTACTCTAACCACTAATAGTTGTCTTTATAGTCTTAGCTCTCCATTTTTCTCACTTATTCATAAGTAAATGAATGGAAAGACTTCAAGCAATGCCTTATATAAGTTCAGATGATTTATTAATGAATTCTCAGTTCCTGACTAATCTGTCCTGAGATATAAATACTTCTGAGACACTGACCGCAAGACACAAGCTCATCTGTGCTGCCACGTATCACATATATAATCTTGCTTGAATGTGAGTCAATCCATTCCAGGTTTAAATGTTTAGAACATTTCAATAATTACTCATGTGCTTTCCTGTTTTACTTATAATTTTATTCTGTGGTTATCTTTTCTTTTGAGATAGCAAGGTTTGTAAATGAGTTTGCAGTTTAAATCAGTCTAACGTTTTACCAGATTGGTGTCATACATTATCACATAAAATTTTAACATTTGCATTATTTTTATATTTTGAAGTGTTTTATTTTATTTCCACTCTACTCAGAACTACTTATTTCATTCTGATAAAGTTTCCCTTCTGGTGTCTAGTTTCTGATGTTTGCATGATTTGATGTGATTACTGCTATGGTAATCCAAATTTTTAAGGTGACTAAAATTCAAAGGATAGAAACATCTCTTGCCCATTTTTTTCTGTACAGAATAAACTATTAATGTCACAGCCTTTTTTCCTAGTATTTTTTGTCAATTGAGCGTTTATAAAAATACTATGTTCAAAAGGATTTTTTGAGAATGGCATGATTTAAGCTATTGTAATTTTTCATGTAGCAATCAATCAAGACATTAAATCTGGACCACCAGTGTGCATGTACACACACACACACACACACACACACACACACAGACACACACAGATGTGTGAATGACTCCTGGGTTACCACTTACTTAATCAATCATCTCTTGAAGCCTTTCGATTGACAACTATAATTTATGTGTTATGCTAAATTTATACACTACTGCTAATCTTGAATTCTAAGATTAATAGAAAATAGTCGTTGCTCTAGGAAGTTTCCAGTTTAGGAAAAGACAGAGACATATAACAGGGCTTGTAGTTACTATAGGACCTGCAGTGGACTTCTATGTAGTAGGTTATTATAACATCCAAGCAAACAGTCCAGATTTACTGCTGATCAAGAATGGTTTCACTGAGGTCACCCTTAGGTGGGACACTGACAACTAATGGAGTGTCACCAGGCATCCTGGAGTGAGGAAGGCAAGCTGTGTGGAGGCACTGACAAAAGCTTGAAGCTCAGAACACTTTGAGGAGCTGCAAATAGTTTGTAGTGGATTGAGTATGGAGTTGGGCAAGACTGAGATGACTGAACTGATGGAGCAATCATCAAATTTAAGTCTTTGAAAATTGTGTTCCTTTGTTACCTATTTTCTAGAAGAAGAGCTCTCCACAGAAGAAAAAGAACTGAGAACTTCTAATTATAGGGTATTAATTATGTGCTGTGTTTCCTTGTTAGCTTCACATTGAGTAATGAAGATTCATAGCTTATTGGCTTGGATTTGTTCTAACTTTATAGGATATGATTAGAACAATTTAATATGATTTGATTTACACAAAAAGAAGCCATATGACTGTTAGGTAGATGAGCAGGTCCATTTTGATGTAAAATTGGCTCTGATGAGTGAGAATGCCTCTTTGATGAGAAGACATGGGAAGTCCATCTCATTTGTCTCCTCATACAACTCTAAAGTAGTGATATTGATGATAATTTTCTAAAGGATTTTGTGTCCCTTATCTCGGTATTTGCCTTCTTTCACTGGGCCACAAAAGTACCTATGTGTATACTCACAAGTCCACAACCCCTGAAACATGACTGCAAGCATTAGACTAATATCATATATAAGAGAATTAAGATAGAGGAGGAAATGGCCAATTTCTCTGTTTATCTGTGTCAGAGGTAGGTTGGGGTCAGGGTTTGGGTTTCCTGAACCTTGGCTTTCTAGTCTTTCCAGTAAAACTACCTGCCTGGATTTAAGGATTCTGCTTTTTCATTTTTGAAATTCCTTGGGAGAAAGTACAATAACATTAGCAAAAGTATAACAATGATTTTAAACCATGTGTTCTTGGCATTTAGAAAACTCTACTTCTGAGTCCATCTTCCTCGTGTACTGCATAGTCAGGGAATCTGCTACCTTCTATAAAATTCAGTTTTCTTCATTGTAAAGTAGGGTAGTATGAACTCTTAGCTATTATAATGATGTGAAATGACTGTGCAAAATGTTTCTTAGAACAGCTTAGGAGTTGAATCAATTCACTAAAGAATATCAAGTAACAGTAAGGCTTTGGAGTTGCTTTCATTAGAAAATTCTAGAAATTGAGTCCAATTTAAAAAAAATACCTGTATTTGATGCAAACACAATCGATCACTGGCATAGCCATACATGAACATACACTAGCATATAAGCTCTGTGAGGACAGGAATTCAGCTTGCTGTTTTTCAACTTCATACCATCAACATGAAGAACAATGCCGCACACAAAATAGGTATTCAATAAATGCAATACTTGCTAAATGAATGGATTCACTGAGTCAGAGATGCCATGTTTTTTATTCAGTCAGGCTCTTTCCAAATCACTTACTTATCTTAATTCTTTATAATTATTTTGAGAAAAAAAAGAATCATACATAGACTTTGAAGTTACATGGACTTGGGATTGGATACTGGGTTTGGCGATTATAAACCACTTGCTCTCCATCAAATATTCTTTTGGATCTGTGCAGCCAGGTTATAAAACTAGGTTGGAGGGAATCAATTCACATTAAAACAACTTATTGAATGTCTAAACACTAGAATTTATCTACTCACCGTACTCATTTCCACCAGACTTAGTCAGTAGGATTTCTCTTTGTAGAGACTCCACGCTCCCTGGCTCTAAGCAGTTGCTAAAATTGTTTCCGGCAATGGGGATGCCTTCTGTGCCGGGCTATGCTCGTCTAAGCTTTATTCTTCCTCTAAGCCATAGCACAAGCAGTGTGTTTTCCAAGGAGAAGCTAGTCATCCTAATTCTTCCACTTTTCCCCTCTTTTGACTTACTGAGCAATTTTCCGTTATCCATAACAGCACAGCTTATAGTGCCCTGTGTAATTTGGTTACATTTAGTTACTTCTCCCACCCCAACTACATTTTAAGCATTTTAAAAGCACGAACTACATGTGATGCTCTTCACTTTTAATAACTTATTTGTATTTAGAAACTCAAAAAGTAATCAATGGACAGTCCAAAAGAGAAACTTGCAGAAACTCTCTTTCTGCCCCGAAAGCTCCGCATTGCTCCGTCCTGTGATCCATTGCTCATACCGGTGCTTTGAGCAAGTACCTCACTTATGGCAGGCAGGGCCATAGGTAGGATTGTGAGGCAG